AAGCTCGAGGCTACTTCTGGGCTTGTTTCAGCACCTGCAGGTCCCAGCCGCCTGCCGCGTGTGCGCCCTGCGAATGGATCCAAAGGCGTCGCCTGCTTGGGGGTGGTTGAGTGGCGCACGCAGAAGCACTGGGGGGCGCTCGGCAGCTCTGGGGTTAACAGAAATCCTCGGCCACCCCCTTTGCCTCGGCTTGGCCACTGACGCCTTCGAAGGCTCCTGCTTCTGCTCTAGACCAGACGCGGCTCTGGCAAGTGGTGGAGACGGGCTGTGTTGCTCCCGGCGCTATAAAACGGGGTGTCGAGGCACTGCAGTGCCATCAATCCCGCGCCCTTGTCACTCTGGCTCGATGTCATGCGCTAACAGCAAGTCAAGGCTTCTGTTGGTATTTGGGGGGGTTTTCACGATCGCCCTCCCCATAGCCAAGGGGCGCACAATATTTTCTGAGAGCGCTGCTTGGAAAACGGGCCGACTCAAAACCGGCTGCGGGAGGAATTAGTCTGTTTGTGCTCGGCTAAAAGAAAACACATTGTTCGCTTGCCTTCCCAGCCCGAGCAGAGGTCGTCACGGCTCTGAAAGGTCCCTGTGTGTAGCCAGAAAAAAGCCCAAGTACTTCGGGGGAGTTACTAGGGGGGAGCAGAATGTGGTGCCCTGTGTCTGCTAACCAGCGCCCATCATAATCTCTATGTCCTCCAAAACGCCCACGGAAATTTTAAGAATTTCGCCTCTTCCAGGAGTGTCTGACTATGTCCTATTTAACAGAGATGCAGCCGTGTTAGTCTGGTCTTGCTGTAACAAAAGGCAGGACTATGCAGCACTTTAAAGACTAACAAGATGGTTTATTAGGACCTACCTACATGTATCTGACTTCAAAGATACTTTAACAGCAGACTACAAAGGGTAACCTCATAACTGTCCTTCATGCTTAAATGTGACGCTTTAGGAATGGGCCTTAACAAAGATGCTAACTACCTTAGCTTCCCCAATTATCACCCCTAATATCATTATCTCATAGACACTAACCTCCCCCCTCACTCTCCCTCTGTTCTAAAATCTGATTTGTCAATTTTATATGTGTTCACTTTTTTTTTATTGTATCCCTTTGGTATATATGGTCATGTTAAAGTATCTTTGAAGTCAGATACATGTAGGTAGGTCCTAATAAACCATCTTGTTAGTCTTTAAAGTGCTGCATAGTCCTGTCTTTTGACTATGCCCTGGCATTTAAGAACGAGAAAACTCCTCAGTCAAAGAGGATGAGAATTATCCCATCACTTGACATATCGGAGGTGCAGGGGAAGGGGATGAACAAACTTTTTCAGAGGGTGTAAAACAATCAGCACTATTCATATACACGCAAAAGGTATGGATGGGGGACGTCTGCCCCTCCTGTTACACTGCTGCAGACAGCAAGTAGACAGGAATTTACTGGAGCTGTGGTCTGTAGGTGCACTCTGCAATAATACAAAAGCAACTCACCCCCAATTGCTTGCATTTTCCCGGCTCCCACTGCTAGCCCCGCTACAATGATATGGCGTTGGGATTAATTACCACTGGCATTATATCAACAGAGAGCGATTAACTAGTAATTAAGGAGTCTTTGTCTTATAAATTGGGCCATATCCGCCAGTGTAACTTTGGTTCGCTGAAGTGAATGAAACTATGCTGAATTCCAGCAGTCTCAGGCCCATAGAATGTCTCTTTTGAAAGGTGACAGAAATTTAGGGACATCTGCTTAAAAGGTAGAGGGGTACATATGACAGAACATTCACACTGGGACAGTGCCTGCCTGCTAAGGAATGCTACACCATGTTCATTACAATCCCATGTTTTCAGAGGTTCTTACTGTGTTTGTCACCCACTCATCATTTTGCCAGATGTGTCATATGCATGGTCTTACCCCAAAAGTTTTCTACAAAGCCCCAGCAAAACCCTTCCACCCACCCACACACCCACAAAGCTGAAGACTGGAATTTGAAAGATGTGTAAGATTGAGGACCAAATCAAGCACACACTGAAGGAAATGGGCAACTTTCCCTGGGACTGTCAGTGAACACGGGATCAGGTGCATAGACCTAGATACACAACGTTATTTAAGTTCCTGAGGCCTGTGGATTTCAATAGATGCTAAGAGCCTAAATAACTTTGTGGATCTAGGCCAGAGGTGGGGAACCTTTTCTGGGTCTGGGGCACTGACCTACAGAAAAATCAGTCGGGGGCAGCACACAAGTAAGAAGCAAACGTGTGTGTGTGTGTGTGTGTGTGTGTGTGTGTGTGTCAGCAGAGGGGGAGCCAGGAGCCTCGGGGGACAGATCCAGGCAAGCTGGAGGCTGCATACGGCCCCCCAGGCCTGAGGTTCGCCAGCCCTGACGTAGGCCATAGCCCTGAGGAATAACTAGTGCCTTTGCTTGCTTCCAAATAAAGGCTTGCTTGAACACTGTGTACAGAGCATGGTCAGAAGAAAAAAAAATATCAATAGGCTCCATTCAGAGACACTGAGCACCTCTGGGGCCACTGGCCATAGTGGAAACACTGCTGAAAATCAGACAATGAAACCACAGTGGGTAAATCTTGTCCCCAGCCTCCACCGATACAGCAGCTCCCCTTCCAGCACAATCAGTGCTAGTTCCTGTGTAGAGATGTGGGTGGGAGGATGCCAATGGGCCAGGCAGGGTGTATGCACCTTTTACCTCATGTAGAACTCCTGGACCAGTGATGGGCAAGGGTTACCCAGAAGGTTGTATGTGTGGCCTGTGAGACTTTTGTTCACTTTGCCCATGCATGGGGTTTTCAGATTCTGCTGGTTTTCATCCCAGCAGTTCCCCCCCTCCCCACCCACACACACTGGTTACTAAGCTGACACCCACATAAAGCCAGGACACAGGGAGTGAGTTGTGTGCTGATCACACACAACACAGACAGCAAGAGTCCTCTGCATCCAAAGGACCCTTGATCACAAAGGTAGGTGAACCTGTTACATGTGAATAAAGCCCATGGTGAGTTATGATTCTCCTACTCTCATGAATGGACATTCAGAATAAACACAATGGTATTTTTTCACCATTATTTTGTTCATTGGGCACATGTTTATTGTTTGGTTTGGGTTGGTTTTTTTTTAATCTAAGCTGTATGTTCTAGGTGTTTTTCTATCTAATCTTCCTTTTTATTCACCATTATTTTGTTCATTGGGCACATGTTTATTGTTTGGTTTGGGTTGGGTTTTTTTAAACCTAAGCTGTATGTTCTAGGTGTCTTTCTATCTAATCTTCCTTTTTTAAATCGTTCTATCAGGCAGCTGCTTGAATAAAATAATGGTTGTTCCCAGATGTGATGTTAATGTTGTTGAAGGAAGAAACAAACTAATTTTGCCAGGCATGTTATAGTTGTGTTTGATGGTGGGTTATATGTTCCTGTGAGAGTTGCTCACGGATCAGTAGTGATTTCATTTAAGGCGAGCAGCTGTTTAACGTGTTGATTTACAAGCAAATGGGCAAATGTGTTTATGTGAGGATAAGGTCAGAAGTGAACTCTATGATGTGCGTGCAAAGCTGGAGATCTACATACAGATGGATAGGGATAAAGGTCTTGCTAATTCTGACTCTTGAACTCAGTACCAAAGAGGCAAAGAGAGACTGTACTACAGTGTTGCGGTGGGGAATAATTAACCAAGTCATTAGTAAATCAGTGGATCTCAGAAGAGGCAGTAAACTGAAGGGCTTTTTGCCCGAGTCTGGTGGCTGTCCATGTGAAAAATCCCATAACATTTTTGGGAAAGTGTAAAAGCTAACTATGGATGTGCTTACTTTCTGAACACACATTCCAGGTAAGGCTGGATGTTCAGAGGTGTTATGCACCATTAACTTCAGTTGAGGTTAAAGGCCCACCAGCACTTCTAAAAATCCGGGCAAAGCTGAGTGAAGCCTTACTGAGTGCCCATGTCTGCTACTAGAAGGTAGCAACACAACCAGCCGCTACCTCGTTTTCATAGAGTGTTTCCCCATCTGATATACATGTGTCTGTGTAACCCCAAATCTATCCCTCTGCATATGTTAAGATCGGTTTGTTAATTAGTGGTTACAGTATTGTACATGTGCATTTAAGGGAATGGATGCTATATTATATTACACTGAAGTTGTTGGGAAATTGTGTGATGTGTGCATTTAAGGGAATGGATGCTATATTGTATTACACTAAAGTTGTTGGGAAATTGTGTGACCCCTCACAATTACAGTGTGAAGCAGGCATATTGTCAAGGGGTAGCATTAAGAGATGGGAAAAAGTCTCAGAGGGATAGCAGTGTTAGTAACTTTAAAAACAACAAGCACCTTAGCCTACACTGCCCGGCTGTTTTGGGATACCAGAAGTATCTACACAAGCTGCCTGTTATTTCAAAATACTTTTCAAAATAACAGGCTTGCTATTTCACCATCCTGGTAAACCTCTTTGCATGAGGTATAAGGGATGACTTGAAGTAGTGTGTTATTTTGGAATTTGACACTGTGTAGATGTGCCAAATTATTGCAAAATAGATTTGAAGTAAGATACGCAAAATGAGTAGTGCAAATTGTGTATCTTATTTCGCGTTTAGGGTGCTGTGTAGATGCACCTCCAGAGACTAACAAATATATTGTATCATGAGCTTTCCTGGGTAAAACCACTTCATCAGAGGAGTTGGAGTGGAAATTACAGAAGCCAGAGTATATGTAACAGCAAAAGCCATTACCTGTCATTGTATGACCAATATTAATGAAGCTAATTGAGTCAGGCTGAATATGTCCCCTTCATAGTTTGTTGATGTTTAAATACGAATATTAAAGGTGGAGGAAATTGCCTTTGTAGTGGTTAACCAGTTAATACCTTTATTCACGCCCAAGTGGATAGTGTGGTAGAGCTGTTTTTCGCTTTCCTCGCACGCATTCTGATAGCGCTTAAACGTGCAAGCTCTAGGAGATGTTTGTGGCATGTATCTATGATACAGAGTGGAGAGGCAAAGCAAAATAACCCCCCCATAATGGTGTGTGGCATGAAGATTTTAATGGCATTTCCGCATGGGGACTAGCAAAGGATTTAAGGGCAGCCCCCCCCCACATGTGTATGCACACTACATACATGCTACATCCATCCCGGTGACATCCATGGAATAAGTGCCATGGTGTTCTGTTGGGATTTTCCCAGGATGGGCTCGCAGGGTTTCGTGGGACCCTTCCTCCTGTCCGGGTGTCTGAGTTCAGAGAAGTCGCCTTCACCTACAGAGAGCGCGAGGGAGACTGAAAACGGCCCAGCAGCTCCTCCGGGTGCGGATCTTTCGCACGTGCTGCAAAGCGGGACACGAGATCTTCTTGGGCCTCCCAGCTGCGTGTTGCAAGCTGGGTCCTTTCCCTCCCCGAACTACACGCAGCGATCGGCGAGGAGGGGAGCAGGAGGAGTGAGACGAGGCGGCGCGTAGTGCGTTGAGTCCCTCTTGCAGCTCCTAGGCATCCTTGAATGACACAGAACCGGACCTGCTTGCTCGTTACCACCTCCCGAGGCTCGAATTACCACCTGCCTCTTGGTGCCTCTTGGTCCCACCGAGATGGACCGCGCCGGACGTGCGCTCCGAGCTGCAGGAGTTCACCCTGCGCTTTGATTGTTCCCACAAAACGCTCCAACGCACCCCGCCCCTCACCGAGTGTGTCCCTCACAGGCCGGGGGCCGGTCAATCGACAAGGGAAATTAATTGTAGGTTCACCTGACAGGGAGTCATTGGAAACCCTCCAGCGTGCTGGGGCGGTCCCCGTTTTACAGCCACACGTCGAATCCATGCGACCAGAGCATCGCAAATTGCCCTGGGGGAGCAGGATTGTGTAGGTCGGCCCTGGCCGCTGAAAAAGCCAGGAGCGCCCGGTGCTCTGCGCTGGGAGGAAGGGGTTGTATGGACAATTGTCTTGGCAGTGACCCGGGAGGTCCCAGGCTGTTTCGGACACCAGGTGGGTGAGGGCAGATGGTTCACTGGCCCCGCTTCTGTGTATTGACTGTAGCAAAGCCCGGTGCAGACTGAAGGCTGGACTGTCCCATCAGCAGCGTGTGGGCCCCTCCCAGAATGAATCTCCCCCAACTTCAGTCTCTCTAGGTCAAGGACACTGCACAAGACGTGAGGAGCCTGCAGCGGGAATAACGCGCAGCATCCCCAAGCTATAAAACAGCGGAGAATGGAGGGGCCTTTCCCAGGCAGGAAGAGAAGACAGCTGGTGTGTGTGTAAGAGAGAGAGAGGCAGAGGCAAGGTCACAGGTACCAAACAGTCGGTGGATCTAGAAATGTCCAACCCCGCCCGAAGAAATTATTTCACCGGCCGCCGCGTGTGCGGGGCTAAGGGATGCCACAGCGCAACCCCGTGTCGAATCCGGAGCCCTCCAAGCGAACGCGATTGCTGCTGTTTACACGGGCTATCTGCGCACGATGGAGCCGACTGCGGGTTTGGCAAGCGAGGAGTCTGCAGCATCTAGAGAGGCCTGATCCTTGGACAGGCAGAAGAGTCTCGTTTGCGGCTGGAGAGGGGCTGCAGGAGATTACCCTCAGGAAAAGGCCTCTGCATCAGAACACCAGGAGATGCGAGCGGATTCAATGCAGGGCGTTGACCTCCCCTTTCCTTGGTCCTGGTGCGGGTGCACACTGGGCAGGGATCTCTATAGCCAGCTCAGAAGGCTGCCGCGGTCAATTCCGACTCCCGGGTTTCTCATTTGAAGCTACTTGGGCTCTGTTTGTTCAATTGGATGGCCCCTGGAGCGCCTCTTTCCAGCCCTCGCTTTTTTACGAGAGCGCATTTGTAGCCCCATTGAAGTCAATGGGAAAAGTCCCCAGGGATTGCCACAGGGCCAGAATTTCTCCCGGTGAGTTTTGGAAGTGCCCCAGAAAGGGATCACTCCCAACACATGGAAATAGCCAGAAACTGGCCGAAGATGGAGATAATCGCAGCAAGGAAACCTCTTAGTTAAAGAACAACAAAACAGAGCCTGGTTAGTCCGGTAAACCTGTGCCTGGAGTCAAACCCAAATTCAGAAAGCGAATATCCAGGCAAGCTATTACAGGCACTGTGCGCATACGCCCAAACCAGTCCTCGGGAATTTCCACATGCCCGTGGGGAGGTCTGGAATAGCTGTAGATAATGAAGGATACACAGGCCAATATTTTTGAACTGGCATGTGTTTATGATTCCTTACAGAGGGGTATGCAGACAGCAAACATCGCCACTGCAGTGCTATAGCTCTATTTGAACAAGATGCAGCATTTTGAACGCTGGCTCCCATGTGCTGTGTAGACATACCCTAAATGTTTCCTGGTTTTCAATGTTAGTATTACACATCTTCTGTGCCCCTGTTTTGTGTGGTTTTTATGGAGCCGGGGTGTTCGGCTGGTTGGCTTGGCCGGTGGTGATCCACATTTAATATATCTGCTTCTCTTCGGAGATCTAATGCTTCTGGCTACAGAGTCTTTTTCAAACCAGGGTCAAAATATAAACATAAATCAAGGTTTGTCTAAGCAAACACAAACAAACAACACTAGCACCTGAGTAGCCAAACCGAGCATTTTGCAAAAACATACCTAACATGTAGTTATATAAAATATTACAAAGCAAATTGGTAAGAGTTCACCCGCATCCGCTGCTTTGCATTTATCATTGTCTTCTTTTGGCACTCACAGTTAAATGCATTCCACTGTGTAATTATTTTTCAATGTCATAATACAATTCTCCCATTGCCATGTCTGTGAATTATCTTTAACAGAAGATGTTTAGGATGAAATTTTGTTAGAAGGCGTTTCGGGGGTTAGTACAGAAACCTATAAAGGACCGTTTTGGATCCACACACTCATACCTACCTAATACCTGGTTTTTTTCCCCTTGCTGAGGCAAGGTGGGTGAGGTAATATCTTTTGTTGGACCGACTTCTGTCGATGCCAGAGACAAGCTTTCCAGTTACACAGAGCTTTGCTTCAGGTCTGGGTCCTTTTTCTTCATAATGTGGAGTTTCTATTCCCTTATCCATTACTATAGATATTCCCTCTACAAGGAGTAGCTTGCAAAATATAAAAATCGGATAGTGAAACAACAAGCGGAATTGTCTGTCGTCGTTGTTTTAAAATTGCTGTCATTCTCGTGTATAATTCTCCTTAATGAAAGTAGTCTAGCATTTTTACTCTCCCCATTTTAGGCTACACAGACACTGCGCATGAGGGCTGTTACTGGATGGAGCAGGAACAGAGTTAGAGATGCTACGAACTGTACCTGCTGATAAAAATAATATTTGGAAATGATTTGAGGAAGAAATGAGAAACCAACCTCACATCGAAAGTGACCGGACTATGTGAAACTGTATTTCCTCGGCGACTTTTTGATGTGTGGCTTTCGGAGCTCTTCTACTGCTGCCTTCGGTATTTAATTAGCACTTCAGCTTCTATTTCCAAAATAATTTTTTGGAGTGTAGGCGGAGGGAGAGCAGCCCCGTGTGAGTCCGCAGTTGCCAGACCGAGTAGCTGAGAGGGGGCCAGGAGTATCTGTCAGTGACTGAAAGGTGACCATGATTTACAGTCTAATTTCCAAGCTTGATGAAGTGGAACTGAAATCTCCAGGCGCTGTCAGACTCTACAGAGCAAACCAAAAAGCCTTCGGATTCGGCCATGTGCTTCTTTGGTGCAAGGTTTGGGGGCACAGCTGTTTGTATCATTCACATACATGGGTCTGTTTCATAGGGTCAGCCTTTCATTATTACTGGATAAAGACTAGAACATGTAACTGGGCAAGTATTGCCACCATAAAAACCAGTTTATCTAAGGCACGCACCGTTCAGCTCAAAGCTTAGACCCAGCTGTTTTTAAAGCGTTCCTCACATTAGCTGATCCCTGGCCCCTAAAATAAAAAAAGGCGGCAGTTGACTTCACAAGATACGTTTAGAAAAGGGGGAAACTGTTTCAGTCTTCAGTTATTCCCTGGATGATAACGGGGAACACCACCCGTCTTTCTAATAGCTAGTAACGCAGGAGCATCCTTGCCACGCACTGCCCTGAAATATTTGCTGTAAAACTCTCTTTGGGGAGAATATCCCTGTAAAGAAATGGCTGATGAATAGAATTGTTTGACGGACTGTAACTAAAGAGACAAGTCTCCCTTTCCTACCACAGCTACTTCAAAAGGCGACATAGAAAAAAATATAGTATTGTTTCAGGCAAGCTTCTTTCGACACTGCTTTCTAGCTTGCACAATCATTTCGTGTGCAAGGTAAATACAATCGCACTGCCAAATTAGCATTGTGTCAATGGCTAAGTAAAATGCAAGGCAGTGGAGACTCAAACCCGGAATATATAAATAAACAACAATACAGTCTGCACACTGGGGATTATTTTCACTGTCCCACTATGGGACAAAGTGGAATTAAGATACACAAATTGCATAGCTGAAGTCCAAGTACCTTACCGGGCTTTCGGCGCTGTGTACACTGCAGGAAGTCCAAGACTTCCCTTACTCCTCGTGAAAACAGGGATATTGGCAACAACCTGAGCGCGCCTCTGATTTAGAATTAGCTGCTAATTCAAACTCTTGCAGATTGACAGCAGCAGCTTTGATCTTCCTCTGCAGTGTAGACCATGAGAGTACAAAGCAATATAAACTACATTGGTGCACGTCCCTCGCCTTGAACATAATTTTACTAGTGTAAAGTGATCACCTAGGTATAGCTAACTACTTAGACTTTAAAATACAGACGCTTCCACGCGGGCCTATATGCATCCACATTGGGGCGTTTTAATTAAAACTGTACCCTTTAATTAAATTAGTACAGCTGCGTGGGATCACAGTGGAGGAGACCTCACGAGGTCATGGCGTCCAACCCGTGCTCAAAGCCAAACTAGCCCGCCGTTTCCAGCAGTAAGTTACCTAATGCAAGCAAAAAACAGGACTATGTAGCACTTGGAAGACTAACAAGATGGTAAAC